TGTTGAGCGGACTGTGCAAGCTTCAATCACGAATCAAGTTTTGCGCTATATGATATAAGAAATTGGACACCATTTCTACCTATTACGGCAAAAAGACCTGCAAACAAAACAACTTACAGAAGCGCCATAATCGAGTATGTGAACGTAAATAAACGTCTTAAACTGATGGATAATTACACAAGGATACCACGAGAAAGGGTCAAAGTAGAAGCACAGTAATACTGCTATCTCTCGGTGAGTTTGACGTACTTACCACGAGTGAATGCAACGGGAACAATTTGCACCGCTAGTTTGGCAACACCTCAACGTCATACAAACGTTCCATGATGCAATCAATGGAGTATTGAGGACAGTCATTAACAAAAGTAGTTGTGCTGTGAAAAGCAGTCTTTTCCACTTAAAAGTAAAGCGATAGTTATAAGTGATTTTTATCATCCATGATGCTTGCTTCGTTATCTTAAAATGCGGAACATTCCATTTAAGCGAAAGCAGAAGCCGGAAAGACAAAGACGAAACCTGTGCAAAGGCGGCAGTGCTTCGTGGCCATATCCATCTGTAACTATTGGCTGTAGTTTTGCTGACAGCTGATTGCAGGTCTGTTTTACCACCTGGAACGCGCTTCCTCTCATTTAGTCGTCGCTTCTGCTGCAGGCAACCCGGCCTAGTTCAAACTGAACGAACTGCGCACTGGTGCGGATATTAATGTTTGATTAAAATATCAACTCGCAGAACGCGAGCTTCGTCGGTGCAGCCATGCTTTCGCTCAGCCAAGTGCGTAATCCGGCCCGCATTTAAGTTCGGCGTAGGATTTGGCCGAAATGGAAATTTGAGCATTACCAGCTCTTTCATCTGGGCGTGTTTTGGTGCACTGCAGCAACATGTAGCGTATTCGGGATGAAAGAGAGTGCGATTAAATAACCTTGGCGTGCCCGCCTCACGAAACAGAGCATGCATGCAGCAGTATTCACTATCAGGTATTACATAGCCAGAACGCACCTCCCTCACAAACGCGCGTCCTCCAAAAGCTGGTCAAGCAGGCTGCCCAGTGTACGTGGTTACAGCCAACGAGCGCGGACGCCACTGAAATAGATATACGCACGGGGGGGGGGGGGGCGCAAAAACGATGCATCGCCACGCGCTATCGGTGTGAATGCGTTCTGCGTTGGTCCTCGTGCGCATGCACTCAGATAACATGCCCTCATTCGTTCGAGACAGTTGGACATGCTGTTAACTGATATATTTTCAACTTTGACATGACGTTTAAGATTTTAACTCGACGCTTTGAATTTGTACATGCCGCTTTAAATATTTCAAGGCACTTTGAGCTTGCACATGACTTTGTCAATTTCAACATGACGTTTTCAATTAAAAAATCAATGCTGACATTTCAGCTGGACATGTTTCGTGCTGACATGCCTGGTCGTGTCTGAGGTAAAGCTCGATTTAGCCGCTTAATGCGGCGTAGGATAATTACAGAAAAAACAGATGTTTTCGAGGCTTGTAAGATCTCGTGATTTTAACCGTCGACCCGATTCGTCGTCCTATATATATATGTATACATAACAGCATTGCACACCATGCTGGAGGATTATTCTTGAAAAAATAGGATCGTACCGACCCCTCCCCTTTTGGGCGAGGATTAATGAGCAAAATCGCTAAATTTACAAGGATATAGAGCAGCGGCCATTATGACTGAAGCTTTATAGAACGCATGCATATCTTGGGTGATTATTTATCACAGTGAACAGGACTAAACTTGCGTGTAACTTGCATGACTCAATCTGCCTCCATTTAGACGGGGCGTCGTGTATTTGAGATCGGCTTTGGAAACAACAGCTCTCTGACCGCTTACCGGTCGATCGTAACTGTAGCTTGGCTCGGACAGTTTTACAATCCGTCAGTGAGTTACAGCCCGTACATACGCCCGCACCGTACAGGTGGTTTCACGTCTTTTTCTGGTTTGGTTGGCGATATATGTCGCTAATCCTTTAAAAATATCCAAAACGGGATCGTTGTTCGCGCACGAGAGCGATTGTCTGCCTGCGTAAATCAACTTGTGCGCATGGGACTTCCGTTTTCTCCTGTGACGGTATCATATAGCGCTATGTTGCTTTGGCACCTGTATGCTGAAATCCGGACCCGACATCTATGATATTTTTCCTCTAACTGTCATCCTTTACTTTTGTCGAACTTTGTTTCATCGGCACTTGTAAATTTACGTAGTCCATGTTACTCGAACGTGGGGAGAGGAAGTCGTGGCAATGTGACTATGCGACAGGAAACACGCATATGATCAAAGCGCTGGTACGTGAATGGTTCTTAAGTCTTAGCCTTTTTATAGATCACACTCCCTGCGGCAGAGAAAATACGTCAACCTACGATCAGTGGTGACAAAGCCCCCTCAGAAAGCGTAGCAGCCGGACAATATTCTCACTAACCAAATAATGCTCACTTGACCTGCGTGCTACGGCCTCGCCCGCAACCACTGCATTACTCATCGCGCCATGGCGGACGCCACCTAAGCACATCGTTCACGACAATGCCCAACACCACACGGCCCTCCCATACACCACAGTTGACAGTGACCCCGCGTCACGAGGCAGTCAACACACCTGTCCGCTAGCAGCCCCTCGCCCAACAACGAGGACACCACGCCTCCCAACGTGGCCCTGTGGCGCCCGCAACCGGGCCGTGGCGGCGCCGCCGGTATGTCGGCACGCATTAACGACGGCCACCGCGTGCCGGCGCCGGTCATTGCCGATGACGAATCGTCAGTGACCGGCGGCCGTCGGTCCGCTGGCGAGCGTCGACCGCGACAGCCGGCCTGGGCAGGAATGTCGGAGCCGACGGCGGCCAGGCGCGGCCGCCGAGCGCTCCGACGGGCCCTACCCAGCGCGAGACGGAGAGGCACGCTAAGCACAGTTGGCGGGGATAGACGGGGAGGCTGGCCCGGCGCATGACTGATGATTGGCTCGGACGGGAGGGCCCGCCCGAGCCGACGCTCCGAAACATCGTGTGTCATGACATTTGTGACGGGAAACCCGTCGGCCGACGGTTTCTCACAATGTGCGCGTACATCCGAGCAGCCATTATGCATACCCACGAGCGACCAGCGCTGCGGGTATAAAATCACTGTAGTTTTGCACGGCCACCTTCCTAGTTGTGAAAGGTATCTGTTAAAACGAGAAGTTGATTGGCTGGACACGAACTGAACAGCAGACCGCGGATATAAAGGCCATCTCTCGTAACAAAGCTGCCGGGGCTCGATTTCCAAGCATCCAGCTGCACTGACCTGCGTGAAATTTGTACTATTAAACACGCAAATGGGCCAGTCTCATGTTAAGCTACGTTAATTTTTTAGGGCAGCCCCTTCGATTGATTGGTTATATTAGACGGGCAACCCTTTCGATAGCCGTTTCAGAAATTGGGGACAAAACGCAGCTTTGTTCTTCACTCAGTCAAAAAAGAGAAACTCATCAGACACTTTTAACTACAAGCAAGAAGCACCGCCGTAAAAACTACAACACTGAAGTTGACAGATGTCTTTTACAGCGAGTTTGACGCTAAAACCCCAGTCAAATTACCATTGTAAAAGCCAAGTGCATACCATCTAGATAACACCTCCAAACGACCGACAATTCGTGAGGCACTTTTATTTAAAAGAAGCAGCGTTATGGCACTGTCGGTACCTTATCAAACATATAAAAGAGAAGAGAGACCGCCCGACCGCTCGGGCCACTCCCCGCTGTGCTGAGAAAATGCGGGACATCGGTACAGACAGCCACACACCGGCCCCGGGCGGGCTAGAGTGCTACCGGCAGGGCAGGAGGCTCTAGTGAGGGCACAGTTGCACGAGTGACAGCTCCAGGACGCACCTCCAGATCTGGACTGAGATCATCATCACCAGCGTGCAAGCCCCGGCCCACAGCCGCGGGGCGAGGCACAGTCAACCGTGACGTCGCCGCTGTAGAAAAGTGGAATGTGACAGTGACAATTCAGCTTGGACCGCTCCCCACTGACGATCACACCACGGGCAGTCGCGTCCCGCCTCTCGGCAGGAGACCCTACACGTAAAATGCCTCCGCTCTTCCGGTCCACCCCACCCCGAACCTGGTGCGAACCGGCCGAGGGCCGGCCACCGGTCACCGCGACACGCGCGCGCGACGGCCGGCGCGCCGCCGCCGCACACGCAACACCGCTAGCTACGGCCACCGATGCACCAATCACATGGATTACAAAACACGGCGTCGACTCGCAACGCCGGCACTTGGACGAGCGCCGCCGGGCGCCTGCCCGCGCCCCCGCCGGGCGTCAGCCGCCCTGCGCCCCACCTCCCGCCCGGCCGCGCTCGCGCCCGCCAGCACGCAGGTTCACAGCTTTGATTGGTTGGTTGGTTGGTTGGTTGGTTGGTTGGTTGGTTGGTTGTGGTCCCGACAGCCCGTCCGCAGTTCACATGACTAGGCGCGCGGTAGCTGGCGGGCACCGCGCGCACGCGCGCGCACACAAACCGCACCGTAAAATAGATTAAGTACTCCGTGGCAATGATATCTGCTAGCCGGCGGCTCACCGCGTGGGGCATCCCGCTCGTGCGTTCACCTCCGGGCGCGGCCGTTCGTGCTGTCCACGCACGACAACGTCCGGGTATCACAACTTCGCCGCTGGCTTCGGTCCGGCGCTGGTCTTGGTCCTGCGCCGTGCGTCACTCCTCTCGCCGCTACAATGGCCGCGGTTGGGCCCACACGCTGCCTCGAGGCGTCTCCCGTGTCCGGCAGTCGACGGCCACAAAAGGCCTGGCGCGGGCGAGATAGCCGCAGACGCAGGCAGACCCAAGGTCCTTTGTTCGCTTGACTCACAGCTGCCGCCGTCCGACAGTCCTCCCTGGGGACGGGCGGAACCACCCACGAGCGCCGGACGACCGTCGCAGGCACGCGACGTGTCCAGCACGGACCCAGCCCCTCTCGGCCACCGGCGGGGCCGCGTCCTCTGCGGCACCTGCTCAGGCCGAGGTGGCGGGCCGCCGCTAGCACCAGGACTCGCCAGCGAGAGACGATGGCCGGCCGCCGGCCGCCGGCTCGTCCTCGTCCTCGTCGCCACCGCCGTACATGTCGGCCAGCTTGCGGAAGCGGGGACCAAACTCGTTCAGGATGTCAAAGTTGAGGTCGTTGTCGTCTGTGCCTGCAGCGGGGGGCCGAGGGGTCAGAAGGCACGGTACCCGAGGTGCCCGGGGGCCCCCGTCCAACTACGTCACGACACCGCCAGCTGTGACAGCCCCACGTCGTGTCGAGCGTTTAGCTGCGCCTTGGTGTCTAAAGATAGTCGGGTTAAAAATAAAGGCGGCAGCCACCACTGCGGCTGGGACGACACTGACGTGAAATTAGAAGTTATTATCAGAAATAAGTGCTAATATCGCTCAGGAAATCAAAACGACTGGCACTTGGCGCACCCACTACACCAGTCAGACTTTAAAAACTCCCTTAATCCTGAGAAAATCTACGTAAACATTTTCCCTCGCTCCAAGATAATCCGGCCACCCTCTAAATCCACTCCATTCATCTGCGCTTTAGCGAGACGTAGCGTCCCGACGCCACGGAAATGAAACCATCCACCTGCCACATCCAAACAGCAACAAACGACCTGTTTTGCCTCGCAGAAGCCCCGCGCCCCGTCAGGCGCGCGCCACCAAGCCTCGCGCCCCCACATCCTGCCGGCGCGCCGGCCGACCAACCAGCCGCCTACCCGAGTTGAGCGAGGAGAGCGAGCCGGCCGAGCTGCCGCCGCCCTCGTAGGCGTAGTTCCTGACGTCGTCTGACGGCCAGGCCTGCTCGTCCTTGTCCATCTGGTTCTTGTTGTCGTCGATGAAGCTGCGCACGGACGGCGGCTGGCCGGGCGTCTGGCCCACCGGCCGGCCGTTCTCCTCTGCGGGGAGCACGGCGATGTCACGGGGTCCCGGTGGTCGTCTGGGTGACAAGCTGCTTGTATGCGGTTAAACTCTGCTGTAGGGGCGGCAGAATGCTCGATGCATGGCACACAGTGGGCGAAAATCTCACGGGTTGTTATCGTTAACTCGTGAGGAATTTAATAGGGGGTGAAGCACTGTTCTCGTTAAATTTCGCATCAAACACTCAAATTACTCGCCGCCAGCTGCAATTAGGTGAGCAATTAGCCTGAGGTTTCCTCGGCGCCGTTATTAAAGTCAACAGGCACTTAAACTACATCCATCGCCCTCCTCCAACAACATCAACTGCCCACGGATGTGCCAGAGAGCTCCTATTCAGAACGCTCGTAGTCTCAAGCATGCACGGATCGACCACATGCCCAACCGTGCACAACTGAAGCTGTAGTGCAGGACACTTGGCATAGATGGCAGGCAGATTGATAACTAAGACACTGGCAGCGTGAAGTGGAAACTGGACGGACTCAGAGCCAAAAGACACAGTATCGCAAGGCAAATGCCAATTTTGTTACTGCTGACGCGACATCATAATTCATCCTCTCCGGTGCTTGTGAACTGATACTGTTAACACACACAGCATTCTCTCACATTTGGCCAGTTAGCAGTAAGCCACGACCAGCACCGCAGGCATGCTTAAAGTGACCCTCTGGTAACACCAGTGATGTTTGAAAACCTGGCACTAAATCTAGCTTGTGATCAGCGTTACCAAAGCCCACGTACCCTTACAAAAAATCTGGTAACAGCTTCATGCCGGCGGTGCACATCCACACACACTCACACGCGTCCCATCAGGGCCACTCCATGTCTGAAGTCAGGGTCCGACCGACCCACGTCCGGCCCCCTCCCGCTCCCAACTCACTGGGCACGCCGTTGGCCACCTGCAGCACGCTGAGATCGTACGCCGTCTGGTCCTTCTCGCCGCCGCCCTCGTCGTCATAGTTGATGATGGTGTCCCGCATCTCGTCCGTCGGCTCCTTGTAGAGGGCTCGCACGTGCCGTCGGCGGTACATGATCACCGCGATGATGAGCACTGTCGGCGAGGGGCGGGTTCAGGCCGGGGGCGCGTCGCAGCCGAGTCGGCGAAGATTGAACATTGAACCACAGCGGAACATCGGGTTCGTCTCGGAATAATCGTGACAATGACGACCGGATGTCTCTTTGTGACTGACTGACTGACTGACTGACTGACTGACTGACTGACTGACTGACTGAATGAATGAATGAATGGATGGATGGATGGATGGATGGATGGATGGATGGATGGATGGATGGATGGATGGATGGATGGATGGATGGATGGATGGATGGATGGATGGATGGATGGATGGATGGATGGATGGATGGATGGATGGATGGATGGATGGATGGATGAATGAATGAATGAACAGCGCTGAGTTGTCAATCGATGAGTGTCATTGTGTGAATGAATCTCGATTTTGACACGCCAAGGACGGTACACGGCGTTGCAAAACCTTCCGCAGGACAGCTTTGGTACAGCGCATTGACACGCCGAAACAAAGTGCCCCGGTGCACCACTCACCACTCATGCAATACAAGCAGCAGTTCAAGCATTCCAACTCAGGTCAGCGCTGAGCAACGAGCTGGGGATCACTCACTCAGCAGGATACCCGCACAGCCGAGAATGACGGCCAGAAAGCCAGACGTCGGCTCTATGACCGGCTTGGCCTTCACCACCTCCGAGCAGTAACGGCTGAAGTCCTTCCCCTCAGCAGGCGCGCTCAGGTCGAACACCTGCGCGTTAGACGGACACAAGGAGTGGGTCACCAGCCTCCTTCCAGTCACTGCGTGGCTCTGGCTGGAGGATTCGAGACATACGTGACGTGGGAGCGATGCAAATACGGTCGCAGTCAAGCTGTCGACAACACACTACCTATGATAAATACTTATCACTTCGATGGGGATGATAGATGGCCCATGTCATGGATGATGGTTATAAACCAGTTCTCTGCTGAAACCTTAATTCCTGCCCGAACCGGATCCAAATTGTCACAATAGCCCAAAACCGCACTCTACTCTTGCAAAAATCTGCACCACGCCTAAACTAACTCCAGTTACACTTGTGCTACACAAAACACGTAAAATAGGCGATGCTGCATCAACTTTGGACGGTATTATTCATATGTATCTAACAGCGATTTGTTCGTGATTTGGACAGAGTAAACCAAAATTTAAGTATATCTGTTTCGCCTCAGCCTTTCTCAACAATCATACACACAACTGACGTGACTCTCCGTTTTTTAACACACCTACATAATGATCGGTTTACTGAGTTCGTGAGCACACACGAAGCTCGTCTCGCTCTCTGCGCGCCCGCCGCTCGCGGGCGCTGTCTCACCCTGTCGAGGAAGGTCATGTTCTGGAGGCAGCCGGAGAAGCCGCCCCAGCCGGGCACCGTCTCCCAGGACATGAAGGCCTGCACGCGGTCCAGCGGCACGGCCGAGCCGCCTAGCTGCAGGGGCGTCACCACGTTCAGGAAGGCGTTCTTCTCGCCGTCAGGCGCGGCAGGCGCCGCCACCGACGCCTGGCAGGTGGTGCCGCCCACGCAGCTGTCCACCAGCACCAGTACCGTCTGCAGGCGGGGAGGGGCGTCACGCGGGTCGCCGGCGTCACACGTCACTTACGTAACGCGAGGCGTCACGTGTCACGTCACACGTCACGTCACGTCACGTCACACGGCACGGCATAGTCACATGTCAAGTCACGTCACGTCACGTCACACGTCACGTCGCGTTACACGTCACGTTGCATGTTGCAGCTGTTGTTTTCCCTTGCCACGCATCCTTCTCGATCCCCTGCTTTACGTTTGTCAAGTACTAGGCACGCCTGTTCCGTCAGGTCCTGTTGCGGGCGTTCAAGACGTGCACCGCGGCATCTTTTCTCGCCATATCCATCCCTAACTTCACACCCGATGCGACGTTAACATAGCGGAAACACCACGACTCCAGACCGTGACTAGCATGGCAGCAAGAGCCCGCATACATACTGACCTCTGTGTCCCAGGTGATGTCCACGTGATGGATGACCCCGTCGTCGACCTTGACCTCGGGACTGGCCACTACCGTTCCCGTACCGTAGTTCATGAACACACGCAGGCGACCCTCCAACAGGTCCACCGCGAAAAAATCTGCACACCGAGTGATATGTTAGAGGAGGAGGGAGACGCTAGGTTCAGTGAAACAGAGTATATCACCGCGGTACCAGGCAGCGGCAGCTTGCCAAGTGACCTTACTTACCAATACGAAGTCGTCTAATCCTTCGCTGTCTCTTCATACAGTGCGTGAAATTCCTGGTCGTTGTGACAGGTGAAAGCACGCCTACATAGCAGTTGATACCGTACCCGCTGGACATCCGAAAAAGTCGCGCACGGCGATGCCTGGCTTGTACCACATTCCTTGAACTAACGTGGGCGATCCGGACACGCACAGCTTCCGCAATGTTCATCTTCCGGGGCCTGGCTCGGTACCCCACCCCACCCCCTCAGCCCCACGACCCCTTGCTTCTCAGCGGCTCCGCACGCCCTCCCCCTCCCCAGGCGGCCGGCGTCGTCCACTGACCTTGCACGAAGTCGGGGGGCTCGGACAGCGGCCCGTTGTACATGACGAGGCCCTCGTCGGCGGCCGTGGTCAGGTCGAAGCTGAGCCGCGACGCGTTACACGCCGTCAGCGTCGGGAACCAGGCGTAGCCGGTGCCCTCGAAGTGGATCGTGTCGCCCTGGCAGTTGGGGCCAGGGTAGCCTTCCGGGCAGTCGCACCTGCGCGCGCGGGGTCCGGTGACGGCGAGGGAGCAGCGCGGGCGCGCGGGCGCGCACCACCACGGAGCGAAACACACAGACGGGCTGGCCGACGCTTTGGAGCGCGGTGGCCGAACGTGATGGGTCGGGGTCCGAAGATGCAATGAACATTCGTGACAACGGAGGCGTTCAGACTTCACAAAAGATATAACTGCAAACGTCAGGAGCGTCAGCCTAAATGAAAACATGTATTTTTGGTTTATCCACCATTTCTGCAAAGCACCAGCTGATCTCTAATTGCATTCTCGTGTGTTGTAGGATACGGTGAACATCCGTGACAGTGCAGGCGTTCAGACTTAGCAAACGGTAGTAGAACTGCGAACGTCAGAGGCTTCAGTCTAAATAAAAACACTTTTTTGGTTTATCCACCATTTCTACAAAGCACCAGCTGATCTTTAATTGCACTCTTGTGTGTTGTAAGCCGCCTGCGTCACCAGCTCCGGGATCGGGGCTTTTGAACACCACCGACTCACTTTTGCCGCGCCTCATTCCAGCCGCCGTCGTGTAGACAGATCTGGCGCTCCATCTTGGCCTCGCACTCGCCACAGCGGTACTGCAGCTCCGTCTTCACACCTGGTGACGTCCAACAGCCCCAGGCGTCGGTCACAAGATTTAAAAGCGGCTCGTGATGATCGCGTGTGCTAGTCCTAATGTTGTGGCGCAGCAACGGATTCAGTGTCATCGGGAGGAAAAACTCGCGGTGATCATGGTAAAATGATCCAAGCAAAATCATGCTCAAAGTTCAGCACAAAGTTGCACCGGCTGTTGCAGGAGTTTCAGCCTGGGGGAACCAGTACAAAATGCAATGAGCATGTGCCTCCCATTTGTACGTCGACACACTGGTGCTATCGAAATGACACGGAGACATAGGCAATACAGCAACAGTTGTTGGCATTAAATCCAACGAGACTACACCCATCCACCACCATGATCGGGATCAGTGACGCAATAGCTCAGCTACTTCGTGTGGCATGCAGGCCTTCACAGAATGATGGCGGAGCGAGCGAAGGGCGGGGCCAGGCCCAGCGTTAGAGAAGTCAACTTCCTTATGTACTCCAGATGCGTAGCTTGCTTTAACTGCACTGGGCATTTACGGACCCTATTCCCTCTACTGATCCGATGCCTACTGTCGGCGCGGTAGGAGCGAGATACGCTCACCACCATCCCGACGCTGCGACCCACCTATGATGCTCGACGTGTTGGTCTGGACGCGGTACACCTCGTCGTCGAAGATCTTCAGCTCGGCGTGGCAGCTGCCCTGGCAGGTTGCCTCGTACAGGCAGTCATTGATGCCCACTTGCTCGATCTCGAAGCCGAACAAATCCTCCAGCTGAGCACGCAGATCACAGGGGTTAGCACCCGCGAGGACGGCATGCCAGCAGCTTAAGATGGATCCGCGGGGCCGGTCAGCTGTGCGTGGCTCCGTCGCAGTGTCAGGGCATAGTATCTTAATGGTGATAAAAACCCGGGAACGTATCGGCCATTGTACTTCCCTCATATCCCACTCATCATATTCGAGGTGAAATAGTATTCAATTACGCAGTTCTCTAATAAGCATGACAACAATAACCGTGACGAACCAGCGTTTCTCTCCCACAAGACCAATGCACTCACACGACTACAGCTAAATGATAAGCAAACCAAACATTATAAGCCGCCGCAACAAAAATGCACGCAACACAACAACCGCCACCTTCAACACCACGCACCACCCACACCAGCCGTGGCATGCACAGACGCTACCGCCTCGCCTCATCACGCGCCACGCGCGGCGCCCCCCACCGCCCACCTGCTTTTTGTTCTGCGCCACGATGCCGTCCATGCGTTCGCTGTCGTAATAGGGCGAGCCGTGCGCCGAGTAGCGCACGTCCACGCCGCCGGCGTCGTTGTTCTGCACGCCGAACAGGTCAACATTCTCCGGGGCGGTGGTGAACAGCCTGGCCAGCTGGACGATCAGACGCTCGTGCATCGACGGCGTCTGGGGGAGGGGGGGGGGCGGTGGTGAACAGCCGGGCCAGCTGGACGATCAGACGCTCGTGCATCGACGGCGTCTGGGGGAGGGGGAGGGGGGCGGTGGTGAACAGCCGGGCCAGCTGGACGATCAGACGCTCGTGCATCGACGGCGTCTGGGGGAGGGGGGGGCGGTGGTGAACAGCCGGGCCAGCTGGACGATCAGACGCTCGTGCATCGACGGCGTCTGGGGGAGGGGGGGGGGGGCGGTGGTGAACAGCCGGGCCAGCTGGACGATCAGACGCTCGTGCATCGACGGCGTCTGGGGGAGGGGGGGGGGCGGTGACGTCACGGCGGGAAGCCGTGACCTTGACCTGTGCCGAATCAAAACATTGTGGGTCGTGTTCGTGCATATGTTTATCTGACTGTAAGCAAGAGACATTTCCCTCGTCCGATGAACGTGGCCAAGGCCCTCGAGGGCATGACAGCCTGAGCGAGACACTGCATGGTGTGAGCGTGGCGGAACGAGCCAGGTGCCTGAGACCGAGCTCCGGGTTAATGTCACGGGAGGCGTGGCGGAAGCTGTGACGCGTGTCACGGGAGGCGTGGCGCGAGCTGTGCCTCATGTCACGGGAGGCGTGGCGCGAGCTGTGACGTATGTCACGGGAGGCGTGGCACGAGCTGTGGCGTATGTCACGGGAGGCGCGGCGGGAGCTGTGACTCATATCACGGGAGGCGTGTCGCGAGCTGTGACGCGTGTCACGGGAGGCGGGGCACGAGCTGTGGCGCATGTCACGGGAGGCGTGGCGCGGGTCATACGTTCTGAGTCCAGTGGGCAGATAGGTCACGAGCGTGACGCCCAGCGAGATCCGCCGGCGACTCACCTCCCTGTCCGGCCGCGAGACGAACTCCTCTGCCGTGACGCCCTTGATACGGAGCGAGCCCGACTTGATGACGGCCTCCCGCGGCAGCAGGCGCACCGCCACCGTCACGTACGCGTCTACTGTGCTGCGGAACTTCTTGTCGTACACCTGGCGACGCGCGGCGGAACTGTTGTTATCGCACGCTACCACAAGGCTTTCGCGGTGGTGGCGTGAAAAACAAGCTCTCGTCGCCCGATGATGGCGTTCGCCGGTGTTTCGGATTCAGTTTCAGGTTCAGTTACAGACTGGGTATCAGATTAGGCGTCCTGTTGCAGATAACGGGTCCAGCCAGCGCTTACAAATATGGGGACGGGGCTGAGCCTAAAGCGTAGCATACGAAACGAGATGAATTATTGATGGATAATATCATTACTGAGCTTGCGTACCGCGTCTGAACCGAACACAACTTTTATCTAGGAATGCAAATTCAAGTAAAAAAAGACAACACGCGAACACACCATCCGCACAATTTTGCCACGTGTTGTCTCTAAAAGGGAGTGTTTCACATTTATATGGGGTTTTGAACTGAAATAGCCATTTTGAAGGTCTTTCGGTGCTGTTCACAACCCTTTTTTATTATTTTATTTTTATTTTTATTTTTGAGTATTTTTAAGCTGCCTTGACATTGATAACGTCATCATAGCGTCATTAATGTCCTGCTATTCCATGAGCCATACGGCGATAAAGGCCAAGAAAGATATGATTATAGAGGAGTTCATATATGGCGTTTGTGAGCACGATTTCAAGACATCACGGCTGTCATTCGGCTATCAACCAATGTTGTGCAAGGTACGATGACGTAATCAAACCATGACACATCGAAAAACAAATTTACTAAACAGAGAATCGTGCTACCAAGAGCAGTCTTTGCCATTAAAAAATTATACCGACAATTACAACAGTTATAGGTGAACTTGTTCCATCACATCTGACGCTTGCGTCAATATCTTCAAACGCGAAACTCGCTCTCCTCCTTTCCCATTCTCAGGCAAACAAAGATTCTCCCTAGCTCGGCGCAGTACCTGAAACTTGAGCGGGTAGGAGCCGTTTGGCGTGCCGTATCGCATGGTGATGCTGCCCGTCTCCGTGTCGAGCTCGAAGTGGCGGTAGTCCTGGCCGTCCAGCCAGGAGAAGGTCTTGTCCGGCAGGTCCCAGTCGTCCGGGTCCTCCACGAATACACGGCCCACCACCGTGTCAGGCATCTTCCCCTGCGGCCATGAAGGTCACCAGGTCAGCGGTGGCAAAGTTCACGGTCACCGGCTGAAGGTCACGCGGTCACGCGGCAGGAGAAACGCTTCGGTGCCTTGAAGCGGTACTCAATTTTGAAAGGGGCGGGGTTGGGAGAGGTGGACTCCCGGCCATACCTCACTGTCAACATCAGGACGATGCCCGGGGGGCGAATAAGTCAGTCACCTTGCAGCCGTACGTCCGAAAGGCGCGATACGCTGGGGAGCACGGCATGGCGGCGTTCGAGGAAATCATCGCGACAGAAGAGCACCCCATGACAAACACTTCCGCCGGCAAAGTGACAGCGACTGCAGCCGACGGCGTGCTGCACGGCCAGAGGCGAAATCAAATCAAGCCATCCGGTGGGGGCGCGGCGCCAGACGCGGATGTCAATGGAAGCAGAGTGTCACGTCCGACCAGTTCTGCGGCCGGGCGGGTGGCAGAAGGCAGTGCCGGGGGGCAGGGGCCGCGGCAGGGGGCAGGGGGCAAGGGGCAGGGGACAGGGGGCAGAAGGCAGGGGGCAGAGGCCAGGCGGTGCCGACGTGGTCTGACGTGCTGACGTGGCTTGCGTCATGCGTCGGTGACGTCAGGGCGGCGTCACGCGCTTCCGCTGACGTGACGGACAAGCGGGGCGCCAGGGGCAGCCGTTCTCAGGCCATTGGCGACGTCGAGTAAACAAGCCAGGTGCGACACACCACTGCCGTCCGGCGCGCCGCCACCGGCACGGGGAGAATCACTCTGTACAGGCGGGGGCGTCCACACAGCAACGGAGCGGCCGCATCGACCACGCGCCCCGCACATTCCAGCCGAGTGCAGCCATCGCAGAGCAGCTGGTGCAACCACAGTGCAGCTGTCGCAGCTGTCGCATTCGTCGCACCGACGCTGCACTGTGCCAGGACCGGCAGGCTCGCGCAGCTGATCAGCGCCCCAGTAACGGCATGCCGCGCGTGTCGAGCACAATCCATGCGTGGCCGGCGGAGTCCGGCTCCGGCCGAGGGCAGCCGGTACCCACTTTGGGGCGCGGGAAATACACCTTCCTCCGCACGTACTCGGCCGTCAGCCACACGTCGGCGACCTCGGGCGGCCCGGCCGCGCGCCGCCGCTCCTGTCCGAGGTCAGGGCGGGTCACGACGCGTCTTCGAGCACGCGCGGCGCGTCTGCTTGGTGGGCTGGGGTTCAGATTTCGCGCGCTACGCACGAATTGCCCGCCCGTTGTGGCTAATGTCGTGAGAGACACGAGACGGCTGTTTGAGCAGTGGCTGCAGTTGGTAAAAGCGCCGAGAAAAAAAGAATCACTGCGAATGTTGTTGTCGCCACCCTCGCCTCTAGTTTCCATGGTCATTGACACTTACGTCGTCATGGTCTTCACGTGGGTAAATGTTCAGCGGAATACGACACACCGCCGGAGAATGGGAACGCCGGTTGCCCGCGCTTTCAGCATTCGCGGGAAGACCGGAGAAGGAGTGACCGAGGTAACGGAAATACCCACGACAACTTCGGTGAAATGAATGTGGAGAGGCACCGCAGTAAAATACGGTGCCCGGTGCCGGCTAGACGACGTCGCGCGAGCAAGTCCCAAGGGAGAAATGATGTCGGTGATGTTATCGGCATTCACGTATGGTGTAGATGCAGTTATGGCACCATTTCAGCTGCACTTCCGCACCGTACCGACCATATCGTTAACCTCCATTTTCCCCGTCAACGACCATCAAATCAGCTTAAAACATGGAATAGCCTGCACTCTAGCGTGCCGGCAGCAGAGTGGTAATTATCAAAATACCTTAGCGATGAGGGAATACACAATGCTTAATGAACAATAAGCACAGCGTTCGGCGCCGCTGCTCCGCGGCAGTCGACTTAAGGCGTCGTATAATGAGCAACGATACTTAAGATCGTTTGAATGCTTTTCCACGCTGACATACTTGCGTTGGGACTAGCTTAAGGAGTGACCCCATCGCGGCGAAGCCCCAGAGCACGTTTTTCACAGTCTCACGGGCACCCTCATAATCCCACGACATGGACCCCGACTTAAACCTACACCAGACTACGTTCGCAGCCCCGTCCCCCAGCGATCCAGGGACGCTCTGTCCGGATCTGACCCCGACGGCAGGCAGAGTCGGGTCCATTTTGAGCCAAGCACGTGTCAGCCACTGACAGTGGGACCTCGCGACTGACCTCGAAGTTGAAGACTTCGATGCGACTGGTGCCTTCCTTCATGTCGTTGTCGTTCTCGTCGCCGATGATGATGGTGAAGAGGCTGGTGCCGGTGAGCGGGCCGGGAGAGGCCGACTGGCTGTCGCTCACCACCACCGGGATGGCGTACGACTTCTGATCCTCGCGGTCGAAGGTCACCAGCGGCCGGATCTCCGCACGGTTGTCCTGGACTGAGGGTCAGTTTCGGGTCAGCTCGGGTCAGCTCGGGACAGTTCGGGTCACAAGCGGGTCATGGCCGGGTTAGGTTGGGTCAGGTCCGATTGTGTCAGGCCAGGTCAGGTAAGATCAGGTCAGATCGGGTCATGTTGGTCCGGTCGGGCCAGGTCAGGTCAAGCCAGCTGGGATCGGGTCTGGTCTGGTCTGGTGTGGTCAAGCCGAGAGGTGGAACACATGACGAAAAACCTCCCAGCCAATAGCATGAGCCCGGGAATAGGTCACCAAGGGTCAAACCCAAGACCTCGTTTCTGATACCACAAACGGCTGATGCCAGTGCCCTTCGTGAACTGGCGACCGGGTCCAGTCAGTTGTAAAAAACAAAATGATTAGATGGCTTTGCCCGCACCGCGCAACATAAGATGTCTGCGCGCCGAGGTCCGAGCGTTCACTGCAAAACATGCCAAGAAACGTCATCTAAGCATCCACTGCAAAACATCCC